CTCCCAAAATGATGGCTTTAAAGAAGGCTTCGATGAAACCTGCCAAGATTGGCTGCTGCCCCACTGTGCCATATTTAGACAGTAGATCAGGAGGCAGGTATTTTGCTGGTGAAGAGGTGCTCAGGAGGATGTTTACCTCCCAGGGCAGGGGCATCTTTAGGGATCTTCGGGCAGGATCCACAAGACATGGCTTTGAATGCCAGAATGGATGCAAATGATGAGATAATGTACGAGCTTTCTCCTGCCCTTCTAGCAGGTCACTGCCACAAACCTACTCTCCTACTCACTCTTTTCTATGTGCATCTGAAGGACTGAGGCAGTAAACAGCTTACACCACAGGAAGACACAGATGTAAAACAACTAGGAGACATCTTTAAGGGATCTTGGGGCGTTGCTTTCATTCTGTTCCTTTTTTTGACCTCCTCTTCCTCTTGTGCTCTCAACCACAGGGTTGAGTCAGGAACTCCATCAGGAAAAGAAACCTATGGGATACGGAAAGCAGGTCCTCAAGGGTGCAGACTGAGACCTCCAGAAAAGTCCAGAAAGTTAGAGAGACGACAAGGTCAATGGGGACTTACTGGGGGGAGGCTGAGTGTGTCTGAGTCGCAGGTGACCCTGGCTCCCAGCGGTGAAACCAAGACTCAGCTTCATCCAGGTTGGACTGATGGACACTGCAGCTAGCATCAGAGGTGACAAGAAGAGGTGGCCTGTGCCCCTGCAGCCAGGCTCCTCCTCATCCTTCTTCAGTCTTCCTCTGCCTCAGCCAAGCAGACTGTGTGCTTCCTGGGGCACTGAAGGAGCAGAGGGGGCTGTGGGCAGAGTCCCTTTTGGAGTAAACTCCGTTGTCCATCTTGGTTTATTCCAGGAGCAGAGCTTGGGTTGTGCAACTGCAGCTTAGATGGACTGGCGTGCAGGGGAGTACGCAGGAGCACAGCTCTCCCACGGACAGATGTTTTCACATGCCAGGTATGCATGGGGATGGAGGGTGGAAGAGGAAGAAGGTGCTTTGGGCTTGGCAAGGGACTCGGCTCCAGGGGCACCATTCAAAAGAACATGCCAGTAAGAGAGAGATTTGGCAGGGTACCACAGGGGTTGAATGTTCAAGACCCCACAAACTATGAAGGAGGGCTCCTGCTCTTTGCAATCCACCCTGGCACAGCCTCACATGAGTCAGATCTGCACAGCTCTTGGACACAATTCTCACCAGGGGTTCCAGGTGGACACCAGCTCTGGGGACACAAGTGCACAGCATCCGCCCCTTGGCTGCTGCCCCACACCCTCCTGAGGCTGCCTTCCCCACCCTGAGCTGACACAGTTCCCAGAGACAGAGCCACTCTGTGCCCCTTTGCTCCGTGTATCGCTTAGCCCTCACTCTCCCCCATAACACTCCACCCCACCCTGCCCTACCTCATGCACCCTCTCATTACCCCAGCCGCCTCTCCTTCCCGTCCCAGAACATGCCAGCTCTGTCCTCACCCGGGAGCACCCCACCCTCCACCCCCTTCAGCAGCCTCCCACCCTCCACCCTTCTCCCCATCCCCGGCCTCCTGGCTGCTCTCCGGGTGGAGGGACTACAAAGTGCCGAGAGACACTGCCCCGTTGCAGCATCGGGTTTTGCTCCAGGATCTGGGTCACTGATGAAGCAGGCTGCAGGGCTGGGCCCCACTCCAGGATGGTCTGTGAGCGCAGGGAACAGCACTGCAGCTGAGAGCCTGGCCGAGCGGGCAGAGCAGTGCTGGGAATATCAATCAGCACGGCTTGGATCGGGTGGTTGCCCACACAGCCAGTGCTTTCATCGCACAGAGGATTCACAGCTCGGCTGTTGGAGCCAGCCGGGGACTCAGCCCCGCGCTGCAGAGGGCTCAGCATCCCTCTGTACCAGGGCCAGCAGACAGCTGGTCAGGGGAGATTGATAACAGGGAGCGGGCAGGTCACTGCCCGAGCAGAGT